TTAAGTTAATTGGGCTTCTTAAGGACTTAATTAAATTATTTATTCAAATTATTGCATTAATATGTAATTAAAAAATAGTTTTGTAATTAGGGTTTAAAATTAATCCAAGGTATTAATACCTTGTTATAGCCTCCAAACAAAATAAGAGAGAAAAGGCTGAAAAGAAAGTAACGGCAGATTAGAAACTCTTTTTTGGTCGTTCCATGTGTGAAGAAAAACAGTTTTCATTCACTTGATTCCTTTTCAGGCCCATAATTTTGTGTGGATTATGAGTTCATGAAACTCATCTTTGCTAGGATATTGTTAAGGCATAGTACTTCCAATCCTTAAAGAAGGATTTTCTAATTTATTGGTGTGGATCACCGTTAGAGGCTGCACAAGGATTCCTTGGACAGCTTTGGTTTGCAACAACCGGGCTGAAGTGGTTGAGCTTCATAAGGCAAATCGATGGTTAACCAAGGATTCATCAAACTTTGGTATTAAGGTAAATTTGATATGATCATACATATATATTTTATTTGTAATTTTATTTTGTACTCAATTCGGCATGAAAGAGATTCTAGGAAGGTGAGGCATAATTTAATCCTAAATTTATTTACGCTACGCTTATTTGTATTTGGTGCATGATCAGCACTCACTCAACAAGAGTAACCTTCTAATGATCAGCCTCATGCCATAGTAATCTCAAAAGGGTGACTTCAAAGCACTACCACGAGAATCACAAGCCGAATTGATGCTGCTGTCTCTACTTACCACCATCCCTACAAGCACATAAAGGTCACAAAAGGATGGGACTCCAATTATCCACAAGTCATATAAATGTTTGGAATTCATCCCTTGGACGGAATACAAATCCACAATGAGGCCATCATGGCTTTATCATTCCACACATCCGAAATATATCACAAATCATGTTCAACCAGCTTGAATCGTCCATAGCTCATTTAAGTTTCTAAGTGCCTCTTTGTTTTCCAAGGCATCATTTGATCAAAGCCTCTTAACATCTTATTTTCCTAAGATGATCTACTCCTAAGGGTTCATCACAACCTCTAGACGTCCTAGTCTAGGCTCACACAACATAGGCCACCCAGGTGGCTCACATCACGACACATAAACACTCAATTTGTATTTTAGGTTCTCTTGCCTAGGCGCTTACATTTAGGCAACAATATATAAATATATACAGACACACAGTTTATTTTAATACCAAGGTAGTGCCTTTATTAAGGCATCATGCATCAAATGTATTCTTTTATTAAACCCACTCACAGTGACAAATTAGAGGTAATCTTATTGCTGTGCTCAACTTTAGCCTCCAATTGTCCTCTAACTTACCAATGCATCCAATTACTTTGTTTTCTCCTTAGGATATATCAAAACATCCAATTTTTAGTTAAATCTTGGCTTTCAAGAAATGCCAACTTTTTCATAATTAACCAAATCTTAGCAATCCAGCTATTTAAACTCAAATCTTTTAATACTAAGCTAAACCCATACCTCAGAAGTTATAGTGCATGAATCTTAGCTCCAAATTCTAACTGAACAGGGAGAGATTCACCAAAGCTGGAGAAACTAGATTTCTTAGAATTTAATCGATTAAATTGAAAAATAATTGGTAAAATGTTTAATCTTACCTCAATAACGTTTCCCCAAGCTTGGATTTGCTCTAAATTGCTCTAGAAATCCATTTAAAGGTTAAGGTTCTAAGAGGCTAGAGAGAGAAAGAACTTGGGTGTTTTTGTTTTAAATGGCCGAATGGCCCAAATTTTTTTTTCTTTTTGCCTTTCTTTAGTGATGTATCAATACATTTGGCAATGTATTGATACATTTGCCCTTATTTCGATTAAATCTATTGATACATTTGTCAATGTATCGATAGATTTCAGGCAGAATAGCTAATTGCCCAACATGTATCGATACATGAGGGGAATGTATCGATACATTTGGACAATGTATCAATACATGTTCATTGTTGGCCAAATTTATTGATACATTATTGAGTTTATAGTTAAAAAATCTCTTATAGGCCTTTATTGTTCATCTTACTAAGAATGTATCAATACATTTGGAGATGTATTAATACATTTGGAGATGTATTAATACATTTTCTCCTATAGGCAGTTTTTAGCTTTTTGAACTTTCAAAAATTCAAGTCTAACATATTAATGTCATTTCTTGTTAATATCACACCTCAAACCATTCATTTAACTTAATCTCATACATGTATATTCGCAAAATATGATGTCAAAGATCAAAACCTCGAACTATGGGATTTATCACATATTTCATCAAAATTTTCCTAAGTGTCAATATGTGCACTTTTAGACACTTGGCATACATAGCATATCATTAAAGTCTGCAAGACTTCACTTATTTTGTAATTCATTCTCATTTAACTTAATTTACCTAAAAATTAGGAGTGTTACATTTTCCCCTCTTTATAAAAAATTCAACCTCGAATTTCAAATCATGCACCATATTCAATACACATATATCAAACCTTAAAAAGATGTGGATGTCTCTCTCTCAATTTCTTCTCACATTCTCATGTGGCTTCCTTAATAGCATGGCCTTGCAACAATACTTTCACCATAGCAATATTCTTGGAGCAAAGCTATTTTACTTGTTGATCCAACATAGTTATGGGTTGCTTCTCATAACTAAGTCCATCTTGCAACTAGACTTCCTCATACTGTATCACATGCAAAGGATCGAGAATATACTTCTTAAGAATGGACACATGAAAACTGGATTAGCATTAGACAAGTTAGGTGGTAGTACCAAATGATAAGTAATTGCGTCCATGCACCTTAGTATCTCAAAGGGTCTGATGTACCTAAAACTTAATTTTCTTTTCTTCCTGAATCTTCTTACTCCTTTGATAGGCGAAACTTTCAAAAACACATAGTTGCCAACTTCAAACTCTAAAGGCTTTCACCTATTACTGGCATAAGATTTCTAGTGACTTTAAGCTGCAAGCATCAAGCATCATTCCTCGAATTACTTAGACACCTCGCTCGGCTTTTTGGACCATCGTTGGCCTCAAGAGCTTTTGTTCCTCAACTTCATACCAACCAATAAGCGATCTACATCTTCGCCCATACAAAGCCTCATAAGATGCTATACCAATCATGGCTTGTTAGCTATTATTATAAGCAAACTTGGGCCAAGGCAAATAATGATTCCATAAGGCTTTGAAGTTGAGCACAATCGCTCTTAGCATATCTTCGAGCATCTGAATGGTGCGCTCAAATTGGCTATCTGTTGGTTGGTGGAAGGCCATACTAAATTCCTATCTTGTGCCAAAGGTCTCTTACAATTTCCTCCAGAACTGACTCATGAACTGCAGTTTTTTATTAGACATGATCATTACTTGAATCCTATGTAGCCTTATAATCTCATTAACATAGATTTGGGCATACCGAATTGCTTCATACTTAGTCTTGACTGGTAAAAAGTGAGCTGATTTAATTAGCCAATCAATTATTACTTAAATGGCATCATAGCCACTTCTAGATCGTGGTAAATTCATTACAAAGTCCATAGCTACATGTTCCCTCTTTCATTTAGGTATCGATAACGATTGCGGCTATCCGATGGTCTTTGATGCTCAGCTTTCATTTGCTACCAAGTCAAACTCTTAGGGACATATTTGGCCATGTCTCTTTTAATCCTGGCCACCATTACACAGACTTCAAATCATGATACATCTTTATAGCTCCAAGGTGCTGGGATTTGACCTTATGCTCAAACACGAAAATAATAAAAAATATTAAAATATAACCCAAAGGAAAAATAAAATAATATTTAATTAGTGAAACAGTCGAATCCTACAGGATCAATGTTTGTGTTTTTCATGTAACTTTCAAATAAATTATAAACACTCATAAGTTTAAGAGTTACATACCTTGCTATAGATATCATAATCAAGAGCTAATTAAATCCAAAATATTTGCTTCTTTACCTTTAGGATACGTCAAATCTTCAGCCACTCAAGTGTTTGGCCTCTAACAGTAGTTCACACAGTGACTGAATAAGACCTTCTCCAAGGTAGGATTTTACTTGTGCTAGCAAGTTTTGTTTCTAAAACAAAAGGACTAAAATTCTTGCTGAATCTTATTTTTACCAGACAAAGAAAACTATTTTTTTTATTTTATGAAATAGCTGAAAAGTGGTTGAAGGCTTCAAGTTTTAGTTTGCTAATATAACATATTTATATAGCCAAACTAATTTGTAACACTAAAAACAATAGTTGTATTTTAATTTAATTAAGTCTCTGAGAACTTAATTAA